GGAAATAAATAACAAATAAAGGGAAAGAATCTTCTGGGACATGACTTCCCAAGTTTCTATAGCTCACTGGTCCCACTGATGTTCTGTAAGAATGGCATTCCCTGCCTGGCTGGCGTGGCTCAGTGGTTGAGCATCAACCTATGAACCAGGAGGTTACGGTTCGATTCCCAGTCAGGGCACATGCCCGGGTTGTAGGCTCCATCCTCAGTGTAGGGCACACAGGAGGCAGCTGATCCATGATTCTCTGTCATCATTGGTGTTTCTGTCTCTCTCTCACCCTCTCCCTTCCTCTCTAAGGTCAATAAAAATAAACAAGTAAAGAATCACCAAGGCCATTTGCCAACATGGAAGGAAGGAAGGAAGGAAAGAAGGAAGGAAGGAAGGAAGGAAGGAAGGAAGGAAGGAAGGAAGGAAGGGAGAGAGGGAGGGAGGAAGAGAGGAATAAAGGGCACTCCCCAGTTAAATTTGAAAGATGCCCCTCAAAGCTCTGTCTGAGGTTTGTAATGAAAATTAGCATATGAAAGGCTCTGAGAAATCCTGAGGAAACCTTTGATTAATTCACCATTTTCTAAATTTTCAGGCCATAGGCAAATTTTCTCTTACACTCATTTCTACTAACATCTCATGGAATTAGTGTTCCATGAATTAAACTTTAGAAAATACTGAACTACAGAAACATACTTATCCAGATTTCCATTTTCCCCTCTGTAAATCTTTATGTAATTCAGTTTTAAAAAATTCTAAGTTTATATGCACAAGTAGAGATGCAAACCTTGGTAAATTTGATGCTTAGGTAATGATAGGATGTTCTGGATAATTAAAAAAAAAATTAACATCTAGAGTAAGTGCTGAAATGCATTTAACTTTTATTGAAAAGCATTCTGCAGTATTCCCAAACTTTAATATGATATGATCACTTGAGAATTTTGTTAAAGTGCGAATTTGATTCAGTAGGTCTGGATGGGAACAGAAGTTCTGCATTTTCTAATCAGATGGTGCCAGTGGGATTGGTCTCTGAGCCACACACTGAGTGAGTAGCAGATTTCTTTTCTGCCTTGGTGAGCAGAGTAGAATAAATATAATAAAATTGTTATTTTGAATAACATTGTACATGTTGTTGATAGAACCACACACTGAGATAGTTTAAAGTTTTAAAAATATCAGCTTGTTTTCTTGATACTATCTTTATCATGAAAGTAAATTGGGAACTAATAAGGAGAAAAGTAGTGGCTATAACAACATCTAAATCAGCACCTACTATGAAATCTGATACATTATAGATACTTAATAAATGTCAATTAATTAACTTATTTGTCATTAATTTTATCGGAATTAATAACTTGAGGTGACAGGGATACATCTGCCTAGGAGATAGTTAATGATAAGAAAATATTGTCAAATAATAGTGAAAATGAACTACTAGACTTGATAAATTAATTCAGCAATGTAGCAGGATACAAAATTAACACCCAGAAATCTATGGCTTTTTTTATACACCAATAATGAACTCACAGAAAGAAAAACTAAAAACAAACAAACAAAACACAAACATTTACCATGGCAACAAAAAGAAAGTAAGAAACCTAGGAATAAACTTAATTAAGGAGGTAAAACACCTGTACTTGGAAAACTACAGAACATTGAAAAAAGAGATAGAAGGAAGATATAAACAAGTGGAAGAATATACTGTGTTCATGGATTGGTAGAATCAACATCATTAAAATGTCCATACTACCCAAAGCAATCTATAGATTTAATGCAATCCCCATTAAAATACCAATGGAGTATTTCACAGATCTAGAACAAACTTTCCAAAAATTTATTTGGAATTAAAAAAAAAAAAGACTGAATAGCTGCAGCAATCTTGGAGGGATGACAATACCTGATGTCAAGCTATATTATAAAGCCACTATTCTCAAAATTGCCTGATACTGGTACAAAAACAGACATATAGATCAATGGAACAGAACAGAGAAACCTGAAATTGAACCAAGCTCAATTAATATTTGACAAAGGAGGTAAGAGCATACAATGGAGTCAAGACAGTCTCTTCAATAAATGGTGTTGGGAAAATTGGACAGGTCTATGCAAAAAAAAAAAAAAGAAAAAAAAAGAAAAGAAAAGAAACTAGACCACCAACTTATACCATACACAAAATAAACACAAAATGGATAAAGAACTTAAGAATAAGATTTTGAACCATTAAAATCTTAGAAGAATTCATAAGCAGCAAAATATCAGATATATGTTATAGCAATATCTTTACCAATACAGCTTGTAGGACAATGGAAACTAAGGAGAAAATAAACAAATGGAACTACATCAAAATACAGCTTTTGCACAGCAAAGAAAAACCATCAACAAAACAATAAGAGAGCCCACTTGATGTGGGAGAACATACTTGCCAATGTTATATCTGATAAGGGTTTAATTTTCAAAATTTATAGGGAACTCATACAACTAAACAAAAGGAAGGTAAACAATCCAATTAAAAAAATAGGCAAAGGATCTAAATAGATATTTTTCAAAAGAGGACATACAGAAGGCTAGGAGACATATGAAAACATGCTCAAAGTCACTAATATCCAAGAGATACAAATCAAAATGACAATGAAGTACCATCTCACACCTGTCAGAATGGCTATCATCAACAAATCAACAAACAACAGGTGCTGGTGAGGATGTGGAGAAAAAGGAAACCTCGTGCACTACTGGTGGGAATGCAGACTGGTGCAGCCATTGTGGAAAACAGTATGGAGTTTTCTCAAAAAGTTAAAATGGAACTCCCATTTGACCCAGTAATTCCACTTCTAGGAATATATCCCAAGAAACCAGAAACAGCAATCAGAAAGGATATATGCACTCCTATGTTCATAGCAGCACAATTTATTGTACAATAGCTAAGATTTGGAAACAGCACAATTGCCCATCAATAGATGAGTGGATTAAAAATGGTGGTACATCTACACAGTGGAATAGTACACTGCTGTAAAAAAAAAAGAAAAAAGAAAAAAAAAGAAAGAACTCTAACCATTCACAACAGTGTGGATGGAACTGGCGAGCATTATGCTAAGTAAAATAAGCCAGTTGGAGAAAGATAAACATCCCATGATCTCACTCATTTGTGGAATATAATGAACAAAAATAGATCCAGAGACACAGAAACATCAAACAGATTGTCAAACCTCAGAGGGAAGGAAGGGAGGGTGGAAGGGTGGGATAAGAGATTAATCAAAGGACTTGTACACATGCATGTAAGCAAAACCAAGGGACACAGACAGTAGGGGGGTGAGGGCATGTGCTAGAGGGCGGGAGTGGCCAGGGAGAGATCAACGGGGGGAAATGGAGGTATATGTAATACTTTAAACAATAAAGAATTTAAATTAAAACAAACAAAAATAATAATAGTGAAAATGTTGCCAAACATGTTTGACAATTAAATAATACATTATGAAGAGTATTTTGGTTGAGATAAGAATTAGATGTGCTAATAGGTGTTGGGACATACCCCTGGCTGAGTAAAGGAAAGAAAAGAACCAGAAGGTGCTAATAAGGAAAACCATGCTAGGGAAGTGAACGGGCATAGGCATCTCTGCCCCAAACATATGCTGGAATAGTGAATGAAGATAAGTGAATGAAGATAAGCTTTTATTGGGCAGTGTCCCAGTTGATCAGGGGGCTGTATGGAGAAGGGAAGAAGGAGATATAGATCTTCCTTACTAATCCACCTATTGATACCTGCTATAAGTTATGCTAAAAGGACTAATTTGGCATAAGTTATTTTTATAATTCCTTACTTGATGCATCTATGTATTTGTGAACTAGGAGAGATTAGCAATATGAATTATTATTAATTTCTAGCTTCAAGTCTGAGTACATACAGGAGCTGAAGTAAAATAGAACTCTGAGAAATAGTATTACATCTAAATTTCGGGCTCAGTGTTGAAAGTGAACTGTGCCACAATCTATCTTCTACAGTTTAAGAGAGAAAGCTTGTAACAAAGAAGCCCACTCAAATGTTGATATCACCTGCCTGATGTTAAAAATATGTCTTTTTCAAGAGCACTAGACTTTTTCCTTTAAGTTAAAAAAACACACCAAGATTTTAAATGATTATTTCCCATTGTATTGCTCCCTTCCTGTCACTGTTTTGAGCCAGAACATGGAGTCCTTGGTGGGGAAAGGAAGGGCATGATCATCAATCTCCATTAAGAATCTTGAGTGGTTTGTCCTCTAATAATTTCTGAGTTAATAGACATGTAAATACTCATGTAGTTAGGTAAGCTGTTCAGCCACATTGGACATTGACTTAAGTTCTGCATGCACCCTTTACAGTCACATTTCAGATAATTGGATAGGCATTTTAAAATTCTACTCTTTTTTCCAAATAAACTTCTTGGAGTTATGCCAACAAAAAACCAGAATCCATTCTATATGAATTTTGTATTGGATGGGGAAGAGAAGGGATTTATTATTATGTTCTAAATTTGTTTATGATATGGGGGTGCATTAGAGCAATGTCAAGCAAATTACATTCATAGTGAAACCAAACAGGTGTTCAAGTTCACTCTGGAGATGAAAGTTAGAATGACTCAAGTGCAGGAAACCACTCTTTATTTTATTAATTTCAGTCTACTTATTATTGTCAATGCTCTACTCATATATTTTGTCTTAAGATAATTTTAAATATACTTCCCACTTCATCATTCTTTTTTCTCTTATACTAGACATCTTGTTTTCCAAAATGTGGTGCTACAGAAAATAATTTTACTTCATGGAGAGTGAGAAAGGAGAATTGTTTTTAAATGAATATTATACTATTTTCACCTAACAAGTTGAAAATTCTTGCCCCGTATCAATGAAATTAACTGATGAGTGTGAGTGTATTGTTTGAAATTTCACGACCTCTCTCCCTTGAACCAGCAAATGAAGGATGGAAAGATTCATCTCTTTTACACATATCATCCTTTTCTCCAGCAACCATGAATGAGATCACTTACATTTGCAAGCATCTGGAGCAGAGAAGGGTCTCCGGAGGTCCCGGTAGAAGCCTGGCTTACATCGCTGGCAATGCTGGCCTTCCGTGTTGTGCTGACAATCATTGCAGACACCACCACTGCGATTCCCTGATGCCTCCCACACATTCATGTCAAAGTGACAGGCATCAGCATGTCCATTGCACTTGCAGGCTGGGAAAAAGCATGGAAGGAAAGCAAATCATTAAAAATAAAGTGGTAGGTTTTATAATATTCAGTTAAATTTTTTCATTTAAATTTTAGTTTTTTGAAGAGTACAAATTTCACAGTACATAAAAACCAAAACAATATAAATAGGTATACTTCAAAAACTCTAGTCTCCCATCCCCATTTATCCTGTTTCCTCTTGCCTTTAATTGGTTACTACTTTCTTTAAAAAAAAAAAAAAAAAAAAAAAAAATATATATATATATATATATATATATATATGTGTGTGTGTGTGTGTGTGTGTGTGTGTGTGTGTGTGTGTGTGTGTGTATACAGTGGTGCCTCGCATAAAGAACGCCTCACACAGCGAACGCTGCACACAACGAACTTCATTTCATGATTCATACAACGAACTTCGTTTCACACAACGAAGTCGCCCGAGCTTCCACGATCGCTGCCGATGTATTGCATCCTTCCGCGCAGGCACTGCAGGCAGTCATTGGTCACTGCGCTTAACTTAAGCACGTATCTCGGCAATCGTTCTTCATTACGAATTAAATCACGCACGTATCACGGCAGTCGTCCTTTTAAGTTAAACTCAATATTTTTTTTATATAATTTTTTTTTAAATTATGTTTTTAGATGTATCTAAATAAAAATAATAACAAAAAAATTATCTTTTTTTATGTCATCTTAGCATATTTTATGCTACAGAACGAATTATTTTTTTTAACATGTATTGTTATGGGAAAACGCGTTTCACATAACGAACTTTTCGCATAACAAACTTGCTCCTGGAACGAATTAAGTTCGTTGTGTGAGGCACCACTGTGTGTGTGTATATATATATATATATATATATATATATATATATATACATATATTTGATTTCAGAGAGGAAAAGAGAGAGAGAGCTAGAAATATCAATGGTGAGAGAATTATTGATTGGCTGCCTCCTGTATGCCTCCCACTGGGGATCAAGCCTGCAACCCAGGCATGTGCCCTGACTAGGAATCGAACTGTAATGTCCTGGTTCATAGGTCGATACCCAACCACTGAACCACACCAGCCAGGAACTACTTACTTTTTTTTTTTTTTTTTTTTTTTTTTTTTTTTTGAGTTTTGGGGTATTTTTGGTGTATATGTTTAGTTTTTCTTTTTAAATATATATATATATATTTCATTGACTTTTTACAGAAAGGAAGGGAGAGGGATAGAGAGTTAGAAACATTGATAAGAGAGAAACGTCGATCAGCTGCCTTCTGCACACTCTCCACTGGGGATGTGCTTGCAACCAAGACACATGCCCTTGACCAGAATTGAACCTGGGACCCTTCAGTCTACAGGCTGTCACTCTATTCACTAAACCAAACCAGCTAGGGCTTAATGTTTCTTTATAGATTTTTTTTTAGGTATAATTGACATATTAGATTTTTAAATTAAAAACTTACTTTGAAGAAATGCCTGAAAGCCAATCAAATGTATATTTGTTTACGTAGGCAGAGATATAACAATTACCTTAGCAACTGGAGTTGACATTTATTTTGGAAAGACTATTTGAGTGGCCATCAATTTTTTCTCTCTTTAATGGAAATATGTCACCATTTCCATTCCTGCTACTTCTCAAGGACCACTGTTATCCCTGGGGGTCCCATGCCTTACTTAGAAAACCCTATATTGTCAGGCATTATTTGAAAATAGTTCATACTTCAGATACAGGCCTGATTTTATGCTCACTAATGAGCCTGGATAACACTTCTGTTTGACAGGAGTTAATAACTTGGTAGGTAGATTTATTTGTTTTTCTATTCATCAGCTATTGTACTGGTGAGTCAAGGTAGTCACTTATAAAAGGCTCAATTTTCTTATAGAAGAGGTCAGTAGTGTTTCCTATGTAATCAATTTCTTAAAGGCATTTCTAGAATTATCGGTCAATAGCACCAAGTGACAAGTCTTTTATGTTCTATATGTATTTAGATATGCAATTGGATTCTCTGTAAAGGGCCAGCATGGCATTCTAGGAATTTAGGAGAAATTCTTTAGATTCTCTTGATGAGTGATTTAGAATAAGATTCTAGACCTTTTTTGTGTGGAGGTCAACTGTATTTGAAAATGTTTGTGCTATTGTTTTTCATTGTTTCCTTGATATGTTATGATATTTTGAGAAGATTTATAATCTTTAAAAATCATATTGTAAGATAATTTAAGATTTATGCTTAGAGGAAATCCTTTACATTTCCTAGAAACTATAATAAATCAGTTATGATGCCAAATTATGAATGAGAAGAGACTTCTCAGAATTTTACCCACAGTACTTGCCTGTAAAGCCCAGTAAAATTGAAGTTTGTGAGTATAAACATTGTTATGGGCATGTGACTTTCTCTGAATATTTTGAATTGAAAAAAAAAAAACACCCAATGATTCATATTCCCATATTTTTTACCCTTCTATCTAATTTCAAACCTTAAACTCAAAGTTAACCTGGTAATGCAGCCTCCTTTTTTTTTTTTATATATTTTTTTAAATATATATATTTTATTAATTTTTTACAGAGAGGAAGGGAGAGAGATAGAGAGCTAGAAATGTCGATGAGAGAGAAACATCGACCAGTTGCCTCTTGCACACCCCCAACTGGGGATGTGCCCGCAACCAATGTACATGCCCTTGACCGGAATCGAACCTGGGACCTTTCAGTCCGCAGACCGACGCTCTACCGCTGAGCCAAACCGGCTTCGGCGCAGCCTCCTTCTTGACTGACTGGCATAATTTCAAATCTGATTTAGTACCATAGTATGGGGGGAAGGGAGTATTTAATTTGGAATTCTGAAGATTTGGGACCAAGTCTTGACTCTATTTACTAATTTTGGAAAAACGATTTAATCTTACTAAGCTTCAGTTACCTGATTTCAAAAAGGGGATTAACACCACCTGCTTTATAGGATTGTTTTTGAGAAATGAATTCATGATTATAATTCATTAACTCTACTATGAGGTTTATTAAATACCATTATCCTAGTTGCTCTTATGTCTGACCATGTTTTTATAATGCCAAATGATTAGGAAGGATGCTTAGGTGCCCCAAAGTGGCCAAGAAAATGAGCAGCATATTCTTGGTAAAACAGTCATATTGGCAACTTGCAAACTGTAATTCTTTCCAATAGTTGAGGGCATAATGGCCAGAGATACTGGTATGTTTGTGTCAGTCACTCACAACTTTACATTATGTTTCCACAAACAACAAAGATTCCACAGATAAGCTTACTTTGTAAAGAAGGCTCTGAGAGTTCTAGTCTTGGTACTTACTTCTGCACTCTTTAGGAGATCCTGTTTTGCCATCAGCTGCCTCCCAGGGGCGATCATTGTACAATGGTGCACAATGTTGGCAGTGAGTGCCTGCTGTGTTGTGTTTACACATACACTTCCCATTGACCTACAGACAGAAATAATTAAGCTATGAGCACAAACCATGCTAGAAAAGCACATTTCTTCCCACAATCTCATCTCATTAGTTGGCTTTAAAATATAACATTCATTCACCTATTTTTTATTTTTACATATTGTATTTTAATTCAGTAATGAATATCTTTGTAGCTAACTATCTGTGTATAGCTTTATTTATTTGAAATGTGTTTTCTAGAAGTAAAATTAAATGGTAAAAAATATATATCTTTAAGACTTTGAATACATTTTTTCAAAATGACTGGTTTACAGAAAGAGGAAAAGAGAAACATCAGTTTGTTGTTCCACTTATTTATGCATTCATTGGTTGATTATTGTATGTGCCCTGACCGAGGATCAAACCTTCGTGTATTAGGAAAACACTCTAACCAATTGAGGTATCCAGCCAGGTATCAGATCTTTTGCGTGTGTGTGTGTGTGTGTGTGTGTGTGTGTGTGTGTGCGCGCGCGCGCATGTGTTTTTTCTGTTTGTTTTTTGAGAAACAGTATAAAAGGTAACTCAGCATAAAGGTAATAATTATATCAACTAGTCAAAAAGTATTTAATGAATATATACAAGGGAGCCCTGGCCGGATAGCTCAGTTGGTTAGAGTGTTATCCAGATTCACCAAGGTTTCAGGTTTGACCCTTGGTCATGGCACATTCAAGAATCAATCAATGAGCCGAAACTGGTTTGGCTCAGTGGATAGAGCATCAGTCTGCGGACTGAAAGGTCCCAGGTTTGATTCCGGTCAAGGGCATGTACCTTGGTTGTGGGCACATCCCTAGTAGGGGGTGTACAAGAGGCAGCTGATTGATGTTTCTCTCTCATCGATGTTTCTAACTTTCTATCCCTCTCTCTTCCTCTTTGTAAAAAAATCAATACAAAATATATTAAAAAGAGAATCAATCAATGAATAAATAAGTGGAAGAACAAATTAATCTCTCTCTTTTTTTTAATCTCTCCCCCAAATCAATAAACAAAAAAGAAAACTTACACACACACATACACACACACACACACTGGACATTCAATCCGACAGGTAATGTTTGGTCCACAAAGCACTACAAAATATAATTTTTGTCTTTAAGAGAAGTATAAATGTAGCTAGAGGAAAAAAGATTTAATAGAAAAAATTACATATAAAACTAGACAATAAATAAATACCTAAGAACAAAATGATGTTGGAACTAAAAGGTTTCAAAAATTACTATAGGTTGGCAGTTCTGGAGTGCTTTATGAGAAGGATTATGTTTTGAGCTGTCCTTGAAGATGGACAGTAGCGAAGAAAGTTACCAGGAAGAGGAAACAAAATAAACCTAAGTGTGGTTCTAGGAGTCTAGGGACAATCTAAAATGTTTTGATTGCAATGATAATGGAACTATTAAAAATGACATGTATTTAGAATGGTAAGAATCAAAATGAGTTCCTAGAGTTCAACAAATCTGGAAATAGTTACACCAATACATTGATCTACTGCTTGACCTAATTTAACACTCCAATAAGTTCTATTATTTTACCCAAGAGCCCCTTTCTCTTTTAATTATCTTAATATCCTATATGTATAATACAAGGCTAATATGCAAATTGACCAAATGGCTGAATGACCAGTTGTTATGACATGCACTGACCACCAGGGGGCGGATGCTCAGTGCAGGAGCTGCCCCCTGGTGGTCAGTGCTCCCCCTGTGGCTTATGGCTGGTGAGTAAAGCAGCGGTGGCAGGAGCCTTTCCCTCCTCTGCAACAGGGTAAGGAGGGGGTCCCAGACTGTGAGAGGGCACAGGCCAGGCTGAGGGACACTCCCTCCCCCAGTGCATGAATGTCATGCACCGGGCCTCTAGTACATATACATAAACATATACACATTTATATACACATACATATACACATACACATATACATACATATACATATACACATACACATACACATACACATACATATACATATACATATACATATACATATACATATACATCATATACTGTGTGTGTGTGTGTGTGTGTGTGTGTGTGTGTGTGTGTGTGTTTATGGAGGGACTCTGAAAGTGGCATATATATTATCCAAGTATGATATATAACTACTGTGGACCTTATATTCACATATTCAAGTGCAAGGATTACATAGTGCTTGGAGGACTGTAGGCTACTTATGAATAAACCACATGAGGCCTAAGAGTTATAATCTGGAAAATTTCATAATGATTTGGTGGCCATCTTGCTAAATTTTATTTCTGTGTATTGTAATGTAAGGTTTTTGTGCTTAATAAAAATTGATTTTAGCTGTCTTTTTAGCTTTTAGGGATTAGTAAATTAATATATATTACTTATTTGAGAAGGTGGGATTGGTTCCTCACTGTACCATGTTGCCAAAATTTTTGTTGGTTTTCTTTGTAGAAACTCAACTAATGTTATAATTCAATTTACTGGTTTGGTCTTGGAATGCCCAACTGTGAAGTGAATTATAGTTACCCATTTTCTTGGACTTCTCTTTGTGACCATTTTTCCATGGAGCTACTGTTATGGAAAGTCCCATGGAGTTGTAAGAGTTTACTATACATCTCCATTTTCATATCCAGACAAGCTCTAAAGACAAATTTGCACTTAAATTTGGAGGTCTACAGGAATTCGATTTCTACTGGTCTATAAGAGTGAGGTCTTTTTATCCGAGCTCCAGGATATCTGATTTTTCATATATTTTGGGAGAAATGCTCTAGTCGTACTGCTCTTATTAAATATTTTATTGATTTCAGAGAGGGAGGGAAAGGGAGAGAGAAATAGGAACATCAATGATGACAGAGAAGAATCTTTGATTGGTTGCCTTCACACCCCACACTGGGGATCGAGCCTGCAACCCGGACATGTGGTCTGATGTGAAATCGAACTGTGACCTCCTGGTTCATAGATCAATGCTCAACCACTGAGTAACACTGGCTGGGCTTATTGAATCTTTTAAATTCAACATTCCTTAACATCATTAAAATGGAAACTCTTAATCAAATAACTTCTGCATAGTAAGATTCTTTAAAGACTTTCAGTAAAAACTGAGTAACTTTGTTTACTTATAAGAGATGCTGATTTCAAACAAAATGAATCTTTGGAAAAACTGAATAAGAAAAACTTTCCAAAGTTGAAGAGTTTAGTAAAGTGAAGACAAACTTGTGTAGCTGAAGGAAGTTGGTAGCATAATGAAGATCAGTCAGAGAAAGACAAATAATATATAATTTTACGCAATGGTGAGTCTATTGAACAAAATAAACTAACAAAATAGAAACAGACTTATAGAGAACCGTTTGACAGCTATCAGAGGGGAGCAGGCTTTGGGGGGCTGGATGAAAAAGGTGAATGTATTAAAAAGTACAAATTGGTAGTCACAAAATAACCCTGGGGATGTAAAGTACAGCATAGAGAATATCCTATACTAGTAGCCCTGTGAACGAATCTGTATACCAGTTGGTCACTGCTGCCCTCCTATAGCTGCCCTACCCTCCCTCACCGCCCCCCCACCCCCCCACACACACATAACTTGCTGCCCTGCCCTCTCCTGTAGCTGTTGGCTGCGCACTTGTAGTTCACTGCCCCACCCTCCTGCAGATCCATGATCTGGTTGTTATGCAGTTGGTCGTTATGCCTTAGGGCATAATGGATAATTAGCATGTTCCTTTCTTATTATATAGGACAATAAGAGGCTAATTATGCAAATTGGCCTTTCAACTGGGAGTTTAACGGCCTGCAACCCCTTACTCCAGCTGGCCAGACCCCACTGGTACACAAATTCGTTTAGTAGGCCTCTAGTAGTCAATAATATTGTAATAACTAGGTATAGTGCCGGGTTAGTACTTGAAATATTATATCACAGCTTATACTTTCCAACAGCCAGTGGTACCCATGTGTATTTTCTGATAATGTTCAGAATTTTAAAAGGTTGTTAATTCTTATTTATTGCCTTTTTGCAATCTTTATACTTTTTAACAACCATGTATATAGTTCTATATAAAGATAGATACTACCAAGTACTGTTAGTTTTCTTTAGAGAAAGTAAACCGTCATTATAGGTCAATGTTTCAGGTTTGGTCCTGGACTACCCACAGCTCATAGGTTAGCCTTGGCCCACAAATTCCAGGCTTCAGGAGGCCACAGATATTTGAAGATAGATCATCAAACATTCACATGTATCACAAGATAATGTGGAAGGTCAGTTCCCTCTGGAGTAAGGATTTCAGAGCATTTCCTTGTTTCCCACATGCTGAGAATTGGGATGACCTCCCAGGGTCTGAAAGATGCCAGCCCAGCAAATTTTTCTGCACACAAAAAAATTCAAGGGGCTGTCATTTTGAGTATTACCCAAAATAGCTGTAAATCATTACCTAGATCATTTCAAACAAGAAATCCTTCCTCAGCGATACAACTGTTACTGTTCAAGCTTGAAAGATCACCCACTATTTGATGCTTGTGAAAAATGTGCAAGTAAAACTAGGTCTTCATTGAAAAAACAACAAGGGAAACTTTAGTAACAACTTGGTTAAACATAGCTCTTATTCGGTACACAAACATAAACTAGATAAAGAGCAGGAAAATGGGATTCTGTACTTAAGATTTATTTGAAGAGGAGTGGTGTCTGGCTATCTAATTAGAAAATGAGAAATCTACTTTAACAACAAATCTATAGTTCCTGATTATCTAAAAGGTACACCTTGGCATTTTTGGTACTCTATGAGTTTTATACCCCCTTTATTATAATAAAGGTACTTTACAAAATTTCTCCTACTTATATCTAATATTATTTATTTGTTACTACTATTAACCTACTTGCAAATCACTTTTAGCATATTTGTCTTACAGGGAGGAACTCATACAAACTTTGAACCAGTAATTTAAAGAATTATTAGAACAGTATACTCATTAATAGCTGTGCACTTTGGTGACATATATATATATATTTTAGCCAAATAAATACAAAGAGAAAAATACCATTATTTATTTATTTTTATATCTGAGGCTGCAAACTCAGGAATCTAGGTGGCGAGCAAAATGAAGAAATTATCATCTTTGAAACACATCATTGGAAGATATATAAGTCTTGCCTAGAAAAGCTGCTTTTTTCAATTATTGTTCTTTTGGGGAAGGCCTTTAGTAGTCAGCAATCATGGAGTTGATAAAATTATCCATGACAAGAGGTGGTGAGAATCTGGCCATTGACAGTGTCAGGCAAATGGGTTGAACAATCAATTACCAAGATGTTGTAGAATATTTAAATATTAGATTGAAGATTGGTCTAGAAAACTTTTAGGGTTCTTCTAGTCATAACATCCTATGATTTTTAAAAATACTAGAGGCCCATGCAGAAAAATTCATGCACTGGAGGGGGGGGCTCCCTCAGCCCAGCCTGCCCCCTTTCACATTCGGGAGCTTTCAGGGGTGGGAGTCGACCTGGCGATCAGGGGAAGCTGATGCCCCATCACACCTCTGCTGCTGCCACTGCCGGTCGCAGCACAAGCCTTGGCTGGCACTGGTTACCTGAGCCTCGGCCCTGGGTGGCTGGGCAGCAGCCATCCAAGGCTTGCCTGTGCCTCGGGCCAGCCCTGGGTGACTGGGGGGTTGAGGGGATTGGGGGACTCCAGAGGCAGGCGCGCCTGCTGACTTGGCACAGCTGAGAGGACTGGGTGCCACCATCTTGTGGCTGTGGGTGCCACCATCCTTGTGGGTGGGATGGTCAATTAGCATATCCCCTCCTTATTGGCTGAGGGTGCTGCCATCTTTGCAACAGCATAAGGGTCAATTAGCACATTCCCTCCTTATTAGATAGGATTTTTATTAATTTCAGAGAGGAAAGGAGAGGGAGAAAGAGGTAGAAACATCAATGATGAGAGAAAATCATTGATCGGCTTTCTCTTGCATGCCCCATACCAGGGATCGAGCCCACAGCCCAGGCATGTGCCCTGACCAGGAACTGAACCATGACCTCCTGGTTCACAGGTCAATGCTCAACCACTGAGCGACATCAGTTGGGCTTAAGATTCTATGATTTTAAGGTTTCCTTCTTTGTGTTGGCTGTAGGCAACTACTCAAAATCCTTTATTAGCTATCGGAAAAGAAGCAAATGTCCTATGGCTGGGTCCTGTTGCCATATCAACAATGCAGATCATCTGAAAATCAAACAAGAGACAGCTAGGAGAATATCTGTTATTTCTTGCAGGCATTACTTGTGACACAAATGAAAAAGTAAATGTTAATAGTTTCTGAAGACAAACTTTCATTTGTCAATATTGACTATATATCTTAAACTAAGACCTATTCTTTCTGATCCCCCCCACACACACTATTTTCCTATTTTTACATTGCATTTTTTCCCATTGCTTGTGACTCAAGAAGTAATAAAACAAATATCATTCTAGCTCCTTCCTTCCAAATAAATGTATATTTATTTCATCATCTATTGATGCTCACTACAGACATTCACCATAATGGAATTACCAAAGCAAAAAGCCAATCTGTTAATGCTTTGGAGGAAGCACATTAGCAGAATTCTTTTAAGAGTGTGTGACAAAACTTGCTTTCTAATGCATTCCAAGAAAGAAAGACACAACTGTTATTTATGTCCAACTAAATATTCTGATGAAAGTTAGTAGGGAAAAGAAAGATTTTACAGCTAAGTATTCAGAAACTCTTGAATCATAAATGGAGTAATTTCCTTGTGCTGTTGTGCCATTACTTTTTACACACACACCATTTTAATTTTTTTTTTATCAGTCTACTGGGTTGTACTCCTGAAATTAATATATGATAATATTGTATGCCAACTGTCATTGAAAAATAAAATTATTTAAATTAAAAAAAGAAAATCTTTTTTCATATCATCATTGGAACTTTTTAAAATGTTTCTGAAAAGAGAATGCAAACAGTCCCTACTCTATGAACCAAAGGAAAATGCTTCTGTAATAGCAGCTGCAGCAATTCACGAACCTCCACTTAGCTATGACAAATGATTTAGAAGTGGAACAATGCTATGTAGCAATTTAAGGCAAAATGTGAAGGCAAAAATTGATTGCTTTCTAAAAAGATAGTATGTCCTTTTTAGAGAAAAAGATTAACTTTTAAAAGAATGAACTTCTTATTCATGAAAAGAGACAAATTCTACAATAATAACAGGCTAGCCTGTTAGGACCTGTTCC